TAATATTTTAGAGTTGCATAGCAGAAAGAAATAAGGAAGGAAGGAAGGAAGGAAGGAAGGAAGGAAGGAAGGAAGGAAGGACACAGTATCTTTGATCATCCCACAACAATAAGGTAAACAAAAGGATTCCTAGAAATTGCAGAGAAACCTAAGTGCCTCCATGGGGACAAGTGGCAATAGCAAATATTTGTGGGAGGTGGATTTCAGCACATCTAGAATTTATCCCATCAATGCTTTTCTTTTTAAAACTCATATTGCCTATACATAAAGAGCTGAGATTTTATAAGACAAACATAGACTTGGGAAGAATGTATCTCAAATTGCTGTTCAGCTGTGATGCTCAACACGTGACATCCAGAAAGTCAGTACTTCTCAGCCTAGCCTACCTTACAGGGTGGTTGTCTAGCTAAATCTTATCTACGCTACTTGAGGCTCTTAAACACAATAAGAGCACAATAAGAGGCTCTTAAACACAAGGAACACAATAATTAATGCAATAACTGACACATAAATAAACTGTATCAATTTGCTATTGATTTACTATTATTATGGGAAACATTGGAAAAAAGCTTTTAAAAGCAGATGTTGAAAGGATTAAGCAAAGAATAGTTAAAACGGTTCATGTAAAAATCATCAACAGGGACCAATATTTGGAAAGGGCTGAAACCCAGTTTAGTAGGTATCCCACTTTTTCCTCTTATAACATGTGCTGTAACTTTGCTAAGGGATAAAACTTTCATTGGAACAACACAAGATATATGGAATTTAAAACAGAAAGCAAGTAACAGACTTTGCAATTTATTTATAGGAAAAAGTGCTCAAACTTTTTTTTCTTGAAAGCATTAAGTGCATGCAGTCTTGTTTCAAGGAAGATGTTTGTTTAGTCCCTAGTCCCAAGCAGAAATTACGATCAATCCACAAATGTTACCAACTGGGACAGTGTATATCTTGCTAAAATACGATACAAAATATATCAGGAGACAATGGAAGATAATGTTGTAAAGAAAACCACATTATATTGCTATGTGGAAGCTTCTGGTGGCGTTGCTATCAGTAGTGTTATACCTATACTTCATTTTAATTTCTGGCATTATATCATAGACTACTGCTGCTTCCACCTCCTTTTTTATTGGCCCAACAGTATTATATTACAATACTAAATAATTCCATCTGGTGAGACATAAAAGGGTTTTAAGAAAAAAAGAAAAGCAAAAGAAAAATAGGATGCAATTTCAAGGCTCAATAGTTGTCATACAAGCGCTCTAGTGATTTATGTATTTCTATATAAGATAATATTCCAAATTTGACTTTTGAGAAGATAGTTACCTGGATCCACTCAACTCAAGGGGGAAAACCAGCCAATGGATAGAAGCAGTTCCTCTGGCTCCCCCTCTCAATTTAATGTAAGAGTGAGGGGAGGAAGGGGGCATCTCTGGATCTGCAGAAAAGAACTTCTCCTCAACTGATATGGATCATAAAGACCTGCAGATCAGAGCTCATGCCCTTGTAGACCAGGGCATGTATCTGGTGTTTGCTTTGTCTGGGTACATTTTTCCTTGGGCTGAAATGCTTAGCGAAGGAGTTCCCAGGGTTGCTAAAGGAATTTCCCCACTACATGTTGCTGCCACCAGGAGAGTTGTTCCAGTTGCACTAGGGAGTGGAAGGATGAACCTTTCCTTCCTCATTCATGGTAAGGATAGCCTTCTGTATGTGCCTGCATTTAAGAAAAGGGAGGCTGTGGCTCTAGAAGAACATGTAGTTTGGCCTTCAGGGAAGACCAAGGGAACATGGTAGCTCACCTCCGATAACTGAAGGGTCATCACAAAGACTTCTTTCTTGCTGTCCCAAAGAGCAGGTAAAGTTCTAGTGGGCTTAATTTATGGAAGGATAGATTTCAGTTGAACATTAAGAGAAAGTGCTTTACCTAGAAGGATATGGAGCTGTCCCTTGCAGGAGATCTTCCAAATGGGGCTGGATAGCCATCTGCCATATCTTCAGATCAGATAGTTTTAAAAGACCCTCTCCAATTCTATTATTTTATTTATTATGTTTATTTTATTTAAAGTTTGTATAGACTATTCAATCAGCCACTGCTCTCAGAATGGTGAACAGTTATTTTATGCTTTTTTGGAAAGAAATGGTCTGGTACCAGCATAGCCTAAACCAAAGGCAGCCCCTGCTTTAATGCCTGTTCATTCATATTGGAGCATTTTAGCTGGACAGCTCAGGATTTTAAACCCTGAAAGTGTCTCAAGAGTTCAGGCTCAGAGAATTTGGATGTAAACTGACCAGATGTTCAGGATTACACCCTCTGTTGCTCATATCTGTTGGGCTCATAAATTTCTGTTCTTCAAGGCATGAACTGAAATTGAAGCTTATTTCCTTGCTCTGCTGATAACCGTAGCTTAAAAACCAAACTGCTTTATTTTATTTGAAATGTGCTGTGACTTGTTTCAGTTATAGGGGAGGATTTAGGAAAAGGCAGTCCAAAAGAATCTAAAACCAATTAAGAGAGAGAATGTTCCCACAGGGTGGCAACACCTTCCCTCTTTTTTTTTTGCCTGGCATTGTGATGATGTTCGTCCATCATTTTCGATGAGGACCTTGACATCTAACAGCTTGTGAGTTGTCCACGGTGTGTCCGCAGGTGGCTGGTAAGGCCAATATAGGCACGGAGTGTTTTGCCACATGTCGGGCAGACATGTGTGGGCACCACTGTTGAAACATTTGCAACTCTGACTTTACAGAGTGCTCGCTTCTCTTGTGCTATGGTTGTCCTTCTGGCTTCAGATGTTTGGCAGCCTTGGTGGATCAGCGTGCGCCATGTCGAGCGGTCTTGTGCCAGGGTCTCCCAGGAGGTGGTGTTGATAACCAGAGACTTGGGAGAGGCTTTCAGTGTGTCTTTGTTTCACTTCTTTTGTCCCCCGTGCGATCGCATTCCTTGAGATGGCTCACCATAGAAGAGCTGTTTGGGGATGGGGTGGTCTGGTATCCTTGCAACATGGCCTGCCCAGCAGGGTGTGAGCTGACAGCAGGCCTGCTCCAGAGGGGACTTCTGTGTCTGGCACCTTGTTTTGCCACAGGATCCCAGAAGCCCACAGAGGCAAGTCATGTGGAAGTGGTTCAGTTGCCTAGCATGCCTCCTGAATACAGTCCAAGTCTCACTGGCATACATCACGGTAGTTGGCATTGTACGGCATCGTGGGATGCAGTGCCTTAATTGAGTGAAGGCCTTCAGTTTTTCTTGAAGGCCATAGTTCCGGAGGCAAAGAAAGGAATTGCAGCTTAGGGAAGAGTGGTTAATCCAGTGGTAAAAGATGTGCTTGTATGCAGAAGATCTCCGACTCAACCCCACATCTCTCTTTAGGGTGTTGTTTTTGAAGCATTTTGAGAAGAGCTTTGGCATTTTCTGATGGTTCTCTAAAGCTCGGGAAGACCCAGCCTAGAGAGATCCTTCACTTGCAATGACAGTCTTGTCCTCAAGTTTTCATCCTTTTCAAGCTGTGAATGCGGAGGTGGTAAAACAGCAGCTTAGAAAGCTGGCTGAAGCTCTTTCAGCTCAATGAAGGCTTTTGAGCATGTTTAACATCTTAATTACAAATGTGAATGCTGGAAATTTATTATTTTTACAGGTAGGGAGACATGTAGGGAGGCAGATAACATTTATATACTCTAGTTGTCTGCCCAAACAAAGCTTCAATAGCTTACAAACAGTAAAATAGTATTACAATAATATATCACATGAGAAATAACGCCTCATGTGCAAAGAAACAAACGGGCAGCAATAAAACAACAGTTCTCATCAGAGGTTGCAAAAGGCTTGGTCAAATACCACTGGTTTCAGTTGGTACCTCACTGTTATAAGTGAGGTTGCCAAACAGACACTGCTAGGGAGTGGTAGGCAGGGCTGAGGTGCCACCACAGAGAAGGACCTATTCCTAAGTGTACCCACTGAAAAGCAGCAGCACCTGGAGCTTGGCAGGATTACAGTGGTACTTGGAGTGCCTTTGGGTACAACTTGCAATGGCTTGCAAATTGGAAAAGCTGTTGCTAGTTGGAAAATCAGCACTGAGTTGGATGGCCCGATGGTGTCTCCCTCAGCTCCTATTGATTGTTTTCCACTACATATATTGAGTTTGCATCTAATAGGAGAATACAGTTTCCTGCCACCTACACCTGATCGAAGATAATATTTGTCTGTCATATTTGACAGCTTGCCAATAGGTGCTACATTATGAAATATGAAAAGTACTTTGTGATTGACAAGAACAACAGATTGCACAACTGTACAGCATCTGACAGTCCAGCTTGATATATGTTCAGTGGGATGAACTTCCAGATTAGCAGGGAAAGCACGGCAGCCATAAAGCAGGAATAGGAGCTTTTCAGTATGTAGGGAAAGAAGGGTGTGCGTGTGTGTGTGTGTGGGGGGGGGGACTTCATGAGCCTGACCACCTCAGGCTGGCATGGACTTCTGGAAAGGGACATCATTTAGTTCCTGGAATTTCATGGCAGAGCTGGGGAAGACTTTGATCTGAAACTCCAGCGAGTTGCTACCGGTCTGTGTCGGCAATTCTGAGCTCAATGGCGCAATGGGATGACTCAGTATCAGACAACTTTTTATGTGACTGTGCCAGTCTTCCTGTATTCCTACTGATCCTGGTAGAGTGAAAGTGGTAATGTTTGCAGGTACCAACAAGCTGGAGTTTTCCTAAAAAGAATGTCAGCATAGCTGCTTTGCAGAGGAGTTGGTCTTGTGTATAAAGGGATATCCTGGTTTGGATTCTGTGTGAATTTTATTTGTTTATTTAAAACTTTTCTATACCATCCCATACTTAAATGTCTCGGGACAGTTTGCAACAAATTAATCCTAAATATAGAAATAAGAGTAACAGTTGCCCAGCATCCAATGTTAAAAATATAAACCCACTAACCAAAGCAAGTTAACAATTAAAATACTGGGAGAATAAAAAGGTCTTCACCTGACACTGAAAGGAAAGATGCGTTGACACCAGGTGGACCTCTCTGGGGGTGTGTTCCGCAATTGGGGCGTCACTGCAGAGAAGGCCCTCCTCCAGGCAGTCACCCTCTTGATCTCTTTCAAGGACGGCTCCCGAAGGAGGACCTCTGGCTCAGATCTCATATCTGAATGTGAAACTTTCATAATTTCAATAGCAATTGAATGGCATATTGCGGCCTGTTTCCCCAGATTTACGCAGCTTCCATCCATAAACAAAAGCAAGGCTAGTTCAGTCTACAGAGGGAATTTACACCAAAACTGTGCAAATGTATCATTTATTTGTGCAAATGTATTTATTTATTTATTTGATTCATAAAACTGCATCCAGGAGTCCCAGCCAGGACTCTCTGGACAGTGTCTTCCTAGCAAATCAAACTGGGAACTGGAAAGGAGGATAATGTGAATGTCAAGACATGTTCAAATATTTATCCGTGTTTTCAGCAGAAGCTTATTGTTGCATTCCCAGCTTCAAATGCGACATGATCACACATGTTGCGATCGAAGAGAAATTCTCATACTTCCCTAGGGCAGCCACCTGGGCCCAACTAAACTGTCTGCCCTAATCTTTTGCTAAAGATCGGGCCACCAAGAATTGATCCATTCCAGTAATTGTGTGGAGTCCAGTCGTGCATATGAAAAGATATTTCCCATCTCCAACATCTCTCTCTTCCTTCTCTCCCAGAACATTCTGGAGCTGTTCCAGGAATCCCCGCTACATACGCTGCTATCTTAAGACTCAAATCTGCTAGCTCATCATATTCCTCAGCTGCCATGAACTCCCGAAGCAGGCAACGATCAAGCAGCCCAGCCCTAGGAAGCATCTCTTCGCCGAGCTGGCATGGGGCAGCGCAGCAGTATCACTCACCAACAAACCTCTATCATGTCCCAGAGGCCTTCAGACATGATGGTATGTCGATTTCCCCCTTGCGAATCCTTTGTAGAGAAAGCACAGATCTGTGGCTCCGATGTTTTCAAAAGGCATTTGTTATATTCAGCTTGTTTCTGCATTTGGTGCTAAATTTCAATACACTACATCTAGCCCCAAAAAGAGAAAAATCAGTTTTCTGTAAATCTCTTAGATTAATCTTAAAATGAGCACTTTCAACTTATTTCTTTGAATTCTTTTCATAGTAAGCTATAGTAACATAACTGGAAAAGCAGACATGGAATGAAATTGCATTACAGCCCAAGCTGATCTATATTACTTGTCTGTATCTTTGAAGTCAATACAGTAAAGCTTGGAAGCCAATATATTTTTCCCTCGATTGCACTGAGATTTTTCAAATTGACTCCATAACACCAGTTATGTAGTTTATAACTGTAAAGTTCTATTTATCAAACTAATTTTGTCATCAATCAAACATATTTCATAGAACTCTTCCATAATACATATAAAGTACACCTCTGTATTTTTCCAGTGTAAAAATCTTCAGATATATAATATATATCCTTTATTATTAACATGGCAATTTCTTTTACTCTTGTTTTTCCCTTTTTTCTGAGGTACCCTAATTTTTAAAATATTATTTATAGTACTGTTGCTAAAGATATCCATAATTGCTGAAGAAAACAGGGAAGAGAAATTAGAGAAAAGCAAAATAAAGCCACATAATTGTCCCTAGTAGAATTCATACAATTAATATTAATTATCACATTAGCTATTTATGTAATTTAAGCAAGTTTACATTTGCATTGTCAAAAGTTAACTGGTTTGAATTAACACTTCTCAAAAACATTAATAACATATTGGAACATTAATATACATATTTATTCATTTCAAACTAGGCATTTCAGATGAAGAAGCCAGTCCTTGGTGCTTGAACTGGACAAAAATAGAAGTTATTTTCTCTTGGGGAAAAAATGATGAAATTGGAATACTATGCAAAATATGTTTTTCCTTTCTTCCTTATTGTGGGCAGTCAAAAGCTACCCAAAGATGAACAGCAAGTGTTTAATATAAATGTGTATATTCATTACATGGAATGATCAATCAGAATTCGCAGAAATGAATTAGTTACTCTTGCTTTCAAGATACTGCATGACTTTCCTATGAAGCTTATAAATGCTGCAATCCATTACTCAGAAGTAATGCACCTTAATGTTACCACCAGCCACGTCTGTTTGTTATGTTTCTATAGGTAAGCATAGACTTCCCCATCCAAGCTAGAACCCTGATCTGGATCAGGTCCATTGCTCTTACTCTAGAGGTAGCTGCTGAATATGGCTTTAAAGCAATGCCTATTTTGGTCTTTACTTTCAGGTGAATGTGTGTAAGAATGACATGATGCATTCGAGAATAAATGGGATCACTCCGTATATACTGCTCTGAGATTGTTTGAAGGAAAAAAAGCAAGAGGAGAGCAGGGGGAGTCCATACAAAAGAGCAGCTCTTTATTTTATTAATTTTACAGGAGCTATTTTAAAGTGACCATTGGGGACACAGTGTACATTGCCTATGGGGCTTACAGAAAATTACATAACAAATATATTATTATATAAAGCCACCCAATTAAACGCCACATTCCAACCCTTTATAATGAGTAGGAACAGTTCCTGAAAACATAACCATCATTAAAAGCAGATTGAAATAAAAGCATCTTTCAAGTTACCAAGTGATCCCTCTCTAACATAGGCCCAGAGGACACACATTTAGGTAAAGTTTGCAACTATTAGTGTATGTAGACATTTAAAAATAATGACTTCAATTTAAATAGTCATCATTACATCTCACTCTAGTGGAGAAGACTATGACTGCATGCCATTCAGCCTACAGTCCGGTAATAACAGCTCAAGCTCCTGCTCTCCCTTTGCAGAGATCTTTGTCTTTGAACTGGACTTGGGCTGGGTAGTCCTTCCAATAAAGAATGTCCTCTGGCATCCCTTTAAACAGAGGACTAGCTTGTGTAAAGGAGAAGAAATGGCCGCCCTTTAACAAGCCAAATGTTAGCATCCCTGGCAAACCTGCCTGCTTGTGCACAGCTAGATCAAAAAGAAGGTGCTGTTCCTTTTGTATGGCTTTGCAAAATGAAGGTGAGCTTTGCCTTTTCTGCCCCTGAATCAAAAGAACACCACTGTCCATCTCCAATGGCAATTTGAAGCAGCAGCAGCAGCTCATGTGTCAGCTCACATTCTGCATATTTAGATCAAAAAGTCATTTATGGTAACGTTTAATACCATTACATTTGCTGTCTGTGTGCATTATCCTGAGAATTTAAAAACTGATTAAGAGATCAGACTGACTCTTTCCACAGTAATGAAGGTTAATTGAAAGACCCCGAAGAGCTTTCACCTGGAACACAGACAGATCAACTGTAAATTGAAAGCAAACATTCAAAGGATGAGTACCAAAGCGAAAATGATGTGTTGAACAACAGATAATGCCTGATTTGTCTGAATTGGGTTAAGACTCCATCAAAAGAACATGTGATTTTCTCTGAGTAAGAGCCCTGTTCCCGTCTATAGTAGTACCGTCTTTGGACACATGGGGAGCTGTAGGCACCTGGGGAGTTGCTGCTGCCGCTACCAGCATCATCATTGGTTTTGTTTCTGCACTGCCCCATTGCTGCAGCTCTCTAGGTGGTTATTTTTCTAAGCTGAGAACTGTATCATGAAAACCAGTATGGAGAAGCTGGCCACATTCAGATGTATATATTAGTCCTGGAAAAGCAAATCAGACCAAATAAAATCCCTAAGCATCCCTAAAGAAGACAGACAGATGGAATAAGCCAAGCCTTTGTGGCTGCGGCCTTCATGTGTGTGTACCCATGCAACTTGGGCTAGCATCACACTGCTGGACGTGTGCAAAGCAGGATTTTGAGTCATCCTTCATAGTGAAGCTCTCCCAAGTGAAAAGCTAGCCAGCATCAAGAGCAGGTACAGCTGAAGTCGACGTAATGCTGCAAGAGACTCGTTTGCAATGGCAGGAGGAACCAGTCCTGATGAGTTTCAGAACAGGGAGAGTTCAAAAACTGACAGGTGTTACTAAAAGTCTTGATGCAGAACAGGGGGAAAATATCACCCTTGGGAAATTACAGTAGTAAGTGATGGCATATGCCTGTCTGCATTTATTTCTCAATAGATCTGTCTTTGTTAAGAAAAGTCTTTTGATTTATTATACATCAACATCCTTGTCATGACTCTTTAGAACACATTAATTCCTTGTCCCATTTTATGTTCTTGCTCACATGTTAGAATTAAAGTTATAAAATACAAGTTCATATGAGTCAGTTTAGGGTGTAAGCTTATGCATGTTTAAACAGAATAAATTCTTACAACTCCATGTTGCAGGTTCATAACTCTCAATGCCAATTCAAGCAATCTCCTTCTATCTTTTGCATTCCTGAGCTTTAAATTTGGTTGGCTGACATTCCAGTTGTGCTCTTATTGTATTGTAACACATTGTACATTGCTTTATGGACAAATTATAAATATATGAATATTACTAATAATAACTAATTTTGTCCCTTTGCTTAAAATTTATATTCTGTGACAACCTGTAGCTATCATAGAATCATAAAATAGTACAGCTGGAAGGTGCCAAGAAGACCATCAGGTGACACTGAGTTACATTATCAACGTATCCATGCTAGAGAAATATCATCATTTTTTCAACATTTCTGTATTTTATTTATTATTTGAAACATTTGTAGGCTGCCTTTCAGGACAATAACCGTGTCAAGGTGGCTTATAGCATTAAAAATCTCCTTCCTTCCTTCCTTCCATTTAACAATTGTTGCATTAATCAGCATTCCTAGTCAGCATTCCTAGAAACAAACTAGAAAGAACTTGAAGGTAAAACTCAGAGTTGTTGTACCTCTTTCAGTGAAAATCAAGTTCAGTTTCAGTTTGAGGCAGGGACTTCATTCCAATAATGTCTAGGCTATTCAGTGTCAAAAGTGCACTGCCAAAAATCCCGGCCTATTTTAGCTTCAGGCTCATACTGCCCATGACTAACCCTGGAGAGGCCCCACTTTTAGAATGGAAAGAAAGAATAAAGGCCAATAAAGGCAGCAATTCATTGGCTCCTCAATTGTGCCTATCAGGCCAGAGAATGCTTCAGATTCCAGATTTATATGGACAATAACTTACAAGTGGAAGGAAGCCACCATAGCAAATGTCCACATCACATACCACAGTAACTTTTTTTTTTTTTTTTTTTTGCCAGCAGGCCTAACCAATGTTTTCTTAATTATATTCATTGGTGTCCAAGCCATCATTTTCATTGAATCCATCTCAATTTTAAATCTATAAAAATAGTAGATATGGAAGCTAAGGCAACATTCAGTTGATTAGGTTCCACAGAACATTCCAATGCCCATTTCTCTCTATCATAGTGAACATTGACTTTATTACATTCCAAAAGACATTGACAAACTATCATAGGCTTAGCTTTCTAGAAAGATCCAATTAATTCTTCCAACAGTATAGAAGGTGCTGAAGCAATCTTGCTGATAGCCCATATACAGACATCAGAAGGTGCTGTAATTGGATATATTGCCACACAGTACTAGATGATGTGATAGCTACACTGCAGTATTGAAAATGGTCAAAACTCATCATCTGATCCTATTAACTGATCTGAAGTATAAAATTCACTATTGAGCCATTTATTCCCCCAAAAAGGCTGTTTTCCCATTTTATGATTTCCCCATAAAATTTATGTAGCATGAGAATAAGGGTTAAAATGCAGCTGATGAAACTTTATGCACTGTATTTCTCTAACTCCATAACTGCTGGTAAGCCTTTCCTTTCCTGATAATGTGCTGGCTTTAAATAATTCTGAGACTCTTCGCTTATGTGTTGTTTTGATAGTAGTGCCAGGGAAAGTTGAAGGCAGAAGAAGATGAGGAAGAACTGTGAGATGGACTGGCTCCATAAAGGAAGCCACAGCCTTGTGTTGACAAGAGC